TTTCGCGCACTCGACACGCACGATCTCCGCAGAGGGTTGCGCGCACACCGGACAAATCGCACTCTCGCCTGCATTTCGCGCACTCGACACGCACGATCTCCGCAGAGGGTTGCACTTTCGGTTGACGCTGTTCGTCCCGCACTCCGCCTTTAAGAGAGAATTTATAAAGTGGGGAAATGTGTTTTCATTAGGACATCTCCCGTGCTAGTTTTCCATACTCACACTTGCCTACTCATTGCATGCTTGTATACTCATTGCATGCTTGCATACTCACCCTTGCATATCATGCTTGCATACTTACACTTGCATACTTTGACACTGGCATACTTCGCATTTGGATGCTTTCGCTCTTCCAGTGTGTGTGTGTGTAAGTGTAAGTGTCGAAGTGTAAGTATTCAAAGGATTTTCCGGAAGAACCCTTCGCAATGCTTTCGGGAAAAAAAAATATATATACCAAAATAGATTATATTGACTATAAGATATCTAAGCATCGTATCGAAATAGATAATTCATAAATTCCTTAATTTAAATTGCTATATATAAAAATCAATAAATTATAGATTAATACAATTTTATCAAATATTAATATAATATTTATCAAATATATAAAAATATACATATAAAAATCATCACATAAAAAATTAAGCAACATATATAAACAAAATCATAATAATCCTGAGAAGGGGAGGACGAAAGCCAACAGCCGCCGGGCGTCGCGGCACAAGACACATGGTCGGCAGCTTCCAAGTCAGCGGTGCCGCGGATGCGGGGGAACGTATATAATGGGAATGGAGGGAGCAGAGAAGCAGGCCGGGCGACTTTGGGATAACTTTCATATGAAATAAATAATGAAAGATAAATACAATATATTGCATATTGATATAGATCATCATCACAAGGCAATGGCATGTATTTGTCACATGCAGGAAAATATGCATCCAATGGAAATTAGAAGGCGCCATCAATGTTAGCGAAGGAGAAATATCATATGAATTCGAATGATAGGATACCGCGCGCGCGCAAAAAAACTTACGACATACAATTAAAATAATAAAAAAAAATATATTTGTTATATTTGGAATGTTTGAAATTTGCAATATATATTACGGCGCGTCGGAAAATAATTTCGAATGAATAGATACGTCTTATTCGAAATATAAATGTTTAATCTCGCGCGGCACAGAAAAAGAAATTTAATGCAAATTGCTTAAATCAATAGAATAATAATATTAAATATATTTATCGATATATATACCTAAATTTAAATAGCCTATATATTTAATATCCTAATTAAAATATATGTTTTTTCTTTTTAATTACCTATATTAAATAATTCAAAAACATTTTATACCTACTTCAATGCCCTCCCCCATCAAGCTCCGAATTCATCTTCTCAAAATATATCTTTCAACCATCTCCCCTCCTATTTCTTTAAATCATTCTTAAAATTCAATTTTAGCTTATCTAAAATATAAAAATATTATTAATATAATTTTATAATCAATTTTAATATTTCTACAAAATTAATAATATATCCAAATAAATATATGTTTGTATTAATTTTTATATATTTCAAAATATTCATTTATATTCCATATAAAAAAGCTTCTAAAATATATAAAACATATTATAAAATAATAAATCTTTACAACAAACTACAAAATAATAAAATATAATAAAAAAATCTTATTACACCATAAAATGCCATACAATTTCACAAAACAATGAATTAATATATAACGGATAAAATAATATTAAAATCATCATAATTATTTATTATAAGATAAGAAATCAAGAAAATTACATAAATTTCTTAGACAAACATATTAATTACACAATAATTAGCTTATTCTTATTGAATTATTACAAATTATACAACCCTACACATACTTCACATACTTAACTAATCAGGAAGAATAAAAATCTCTACAAAATGACTGTTTTTCTAGCCCAAACCAAACTAAAAAAAACATCTATATCATCTCTCCAAATCATTAATTTACTATAAAATGACAGTGTTTCGGGGGGATCTTTAGGGGACCCCCTCTATACAGAATTTACTTTTTATAGTGGCCTCGAGGTCACCCATTTTGTAGGGGAAATATTCACGGGCATATTTCATGTGATTTTTATATTCAATGCTATTAATATAGAATATATATGTTTTGTATCCATTTCATTTGGAATGTCAATTGTTATTGCCCTTAGTGTCAAAAATTAAAATTGATGTCAATTTCAATTATGATGTCTTTATCATTGTTGTTTCTCCAAGTAGCTCTTCCTCTTCCTCTGCACCAGTAGCCTGCCACTTCATTCTGCTTTCAGAAAGCCACCCAAGGCCTCAAAGCTTTTCTCAATTCAAGGGCCTCATCCACGGCACCAGTGATGGGGCTGCTCGGCACCTAAAGGATTTGATCTTAGAGCTCAACTCTCTTGGAATTTCAACACTTGAAGTCGCTTGAAGTGCACCCCCCGAACCTCTGGGACAATCCCCAGACTGGTATTTGCAGCAGGTGCCTGCAGGTTTATTTATGGTCAAAACGTGATCAAAACAAGGTTAACTTTGCAATAACAATGGGTCAAAACAGCATTGAGCATACTGCCTCCGTGCGGTGTGGTGGAGTATCTTGTTCAGGCAATGGCCTGAATGGCGAATATATGCGAATATCATGTAAGACTTGCAAGGAACATATCGAATGCAAACTTAGGTTGCATGTTTGGACAACGTGACTGCGCAGCCTGGTCTTGTGAGGCTCTGGTCCTGCGCGGATTTCGCGCGAACCCGCGGTGCTCGAGCTCGACCGATCCCTTGCAACGTTTACAGATTTTGCGCGGGCCTGGCGTCTTCAAATAGTGTACCTGGCAAGCTATTTCTGAAAGCCCTTTCTGAAAATAAGGCGCTCTAGCATGAGCCATAAAGCGGGCAACAATAGACCAGGAATAGAGTCTGAACCACCAGGTGTCAGTCTACAATTAGGCATTATATATTGCTTAGAGCAAATTCCGGATGGGAAGTAGAGTTCATAATGGCCGACATATAGGGGTCAATATTGCTGTTACAAGCAAATCACAGTAGATTTTGCTGTCAAGGAAAGTTGTCTTGTCAACACATGGTACATGGAAGGCAACCCGTGTCATGCTGGTTCAACAGGAGAGAGACTCTTCAAATCGCTGGCGGACTTCTCTGGAAGTTGGTCTGGAAGTTGGTGAAGACTTTGGCCGGCCTCAGATGTGGAGCAAATGATAATTTTCAGTCAATGTAAATGCACATGAACATGCTGATCAAAGCTTCCATGAATCAGGTGCTTCTGTTGCAAGTACTCAACTCTAAAACTGGCATACTTCTGCAGTATCTGTATGGCCATGCAGTCTAGCCCATCGGCAGAGTCATCGCTGACACCAGAGTCATCCGAGATCAGGGCTTTGGGAGTCATCCACCTGAACTGCAGGTGTTCTGCTCCAACAGCAAAGTAAACATAGCAGGATCGTGCATCCTGCGTGCATCCTGCCTCCCTGTCAGCAGCACCGTTTCCTTCCCGAAAATGATTTGAGCATGCATTCACGCAACCACTCCAAGCGCACGAACCAATGCTTGTCTTGCAGTAGACAGTAGAAGCATCTTAAAAAAGGAATGCTGCAGTACACAGCGATCAAGAATGACACACAAGAAACATACGCTGGCCTGGAGATCCTATTTCTTGGTAGCTCGTAACTCAGTTGACCGCAGGCTGGGTTTTCTTGCGAGTCTCATCGCTGACTTCGATCCGAGTGCCGCACGTCTAGCAACTTTACTGGGAGAGCCCTGACGAATTGTCACTCTCACAGCGCTCCATGTCACCATGTCACGAATTGAATTGAAACAACCACTATCTCAACCACTTGAGAAGTATCAAATACAGTGGTTTCAGAGGTTTTGCCGGGCACAAACCCTATGGATCCCTACGGTACATGTCTCAGTTTGATATGGGGGTCCCTATCCAGCACCGACCTTGGGGGCCACTACGTGCCATCGAAGCTCCGAGCTACCATCGAACCGAGAACAACAGGACCAAACCAACAGCCTTGGAGAGTCGCTTCTCCGGTAGGGATTGAACGTTGTCGCGGTATGATGTGTACAAAAAGCCTCAGGTCGGGACTCAAGTCAGAGTTACCAAACAGCAGAGTGTTTGTTATATTTTGTTATGAGATATTATAAGACATGTTGTGCCAAAGATTGCTGGCAAGGTAGCTGAGTGAACCAAAGACCACGATGAGGAGCAAATTCTTGAGGATGAAATCCTTGCGCCAAATCGTGCAACTGTGTCAAACGATGGGGTCGGTAAACTGGTTAATTAAAGTGCTGCCTTGACTATGAATGATAGGTAACTCACAATCAGCTGCGGCCGAATGTGCCATGTCTAAGCTACATATGTCGCCTTTTGAGGCTTTGATGTGAAGCATGTAGTCAGTAGCTAGGCGAAACGTTTGTTCGCAGAAGTCGCGTTTCAGCAACTTTCAGTACAATTAACAGTCCCAATGCATTAAGTTTCTTGTCACATGAAGTGAATGTCGGCTTTTGTCGGCTTGTGGTTTCACATCTCCTGACTTGTTGGTCTACCAGCCATATTGTAAAACGCATGGCATCAGCCCTTCTTGGCGAAGACGTGCTTGACGGCTGTTTTGTTCACTTAACGATTGCTGGAGTTGGTGGCTCTGCTTGACAAATAGCCGAGCCTTCCCATGTGCACCGGCCATGTGCCTTCCCAAATTGATGTTTGCTCGTCTTCTTTTGTTCATGTTTGATCATTTTTGTACCAATTGACCAAAAGAAGCTTCAAGGATCTGCGTCCAGCTTCTTTTAACAACTTAAACTGAACTGGTCACCCTCTGAGCCAAAGTGCTAAGGTCCAAAGGTTGAGTCAGTTGCTGGGAACAACGTTTAAGCATGATTTATCTTTTTCAATGTCCCAAGGACGCTAATTACTAGGTGGAGGCCATCGCTATTAAGTTGAAGGCCATTACTCCTAGGAACGAGGACGCTACTAGTAACAATGTCCCAGTTTCTTCCCGGAAAAGGTTTCGGTCTCTTCCTTTTCCGCAGGTCCGCGCGGTTTGCCTTTTGACAAACATGTGTCATGGCAGCTCTCAGCCCGAGCCAAAGACCGATAGTCTCTTGTGGTCAAGCCACAAAGCAACTCGTGGTCGTCCTCAACTACGTAAGGCGTTCGTCCAGGTCAAATTGCTCACACGACTATGGTCTGGCATTTGGAAGCGTATAGTGCACTGTTTGTTTTGCAAAATGCATCTAGCTCGCTCAAATACCAACCCTAGGTTCATCTAGGTTCTGTACATTGAATTGCTCCACTTGTGCTCGTATCTCCGCGGTATTGTCGTACTCCTGTCTCGATGCACAGCTTGCATGTTACACTTCTGTCACGAGTGAAAATGCAACAAAGCTTTGTCTTTCACATGTCACATGGCACTGTAGAAGTCATGTGTCCTGTCATAGCGTTGTTTCTTGTCGTAGTATCCATAGCAGCCCACCTCAACAGGCATGTTGAAGTCTCGCACTACCAAAGCCTTCAATCGTGTGATGAGTGGAGTTCAAAGCCCAAATTCGGACGGATGTCTTGAGGTTTCAGAGCCCCTTTCCAGAAGATCCATGTTTCTTCGATTTGGCCCGGAGAGCGGATTCTTCGGCCTTTTCGGAGCGTGAGATCAGAATCCCTCCATGCGGCGGGTGATGTCCTCCGGCTGAGACGGTGAGTCACTGGTCTATCTTGCTTGAAAAGCAGAAAGCTCACGACTCACAACATCTGAAAAATCCTCCATCGAGGTTGTGAAAACATTGACTGTCCCAGCTGTCCCAACCCACACGAGGTTTTTGCGATCTGCCAAAATGTCCTCCTCGAGCTCATTCTCAACGAGGCCGGGAAAGCGGGCAAAGCGTCTTGCCAGGGACTTAGGGCACAAAAGTTTATATATGATATATATATATATATATATATTATAATATATTATATGCATGATAATAATATACAATATTATATACTGTAGTATCCATTAAGTGCGGCAAACCTTCTGATCCAAATGAACATTATGCATAATTATGCTCCATAACGAATTATGATCCCATCATTATCCAAATTTGGATCATCATCTGGGCAAAAGGCGTCAGTAAGCTCTCTGGCATCAATGATCTCGTCAGCGATGTTTCTGGTTCCAAAGTAGCCTGGCCCACTGACCTGCAAACCAGAGGGTTTGGGGGGCGCTGTCTGGGTTCCACAAGAATGGATTGTGTACAATGGAACAGTGCACTCCTGTCATCTCCCATCTCCCTGAAACAATCATGGAAGTGGAGGAAAAACAAACCTGGCCTTGGTATTCGGATAACTCATGGTCTTTCCAGCACCCTAAACCCTAACCCATCCACTTCCACCATGAGGACGTTGCATGAAGAAGTAATGAGGACAGGACCGTGTCTTCCCCCCCGCGACCTTCCCAGCTCGGACGTCCGTGCTGACTCGAACACCCGGCTACAGGCTACGCCGCTACGCCTGTAGCCAGGGGAGGTGGCGCCGGCGGACTGCATTGAACTCCTCGTTTCGACACAGATGGAGACTGAAAACGACTGGAGTAACATCGTGGTACAACCTGCAACCTGCAAACCGGCATTTTATGGGGACCAGCGCCTCAATTCAAATAACTCTGGCAACCTTGCATTATCTTACATCATTGCCACCTACGCTGCACATCTGTTGCTTGAAGTCCTGCAACTTCTTATGGTGGCCCAGCAAATACTGCGGCACCGCCTATGCAAGGCTGCGAACAGGAAACCAGACTCAGATTGCCCAAAGGATCCTCCTCAGCTTCTGTCAAGACTCAGTGCTGGACGTCCTGCCACACCTTCACTCGGATCTCTGTGGGCCTTGTCGAGTCGCAATCACCAAAGGCTAGCAGCTAGCAAAGCCAGGACTGCCAGGACCGGAAACAAGATCGCCAAAAGGCAAAACACGTCACACACGTCATGCACTGTTGACCAACTGGTGCATCTCATTGTTGATCTTGGCTTCTGAAAACTGGGGATCCTTGCTCTTCCTGGATGCCCAGTTGCTGAGTCACGGCCTTGATCGCTGCCTGCTCCATCAACCTTTCAAGTTCAACTCCTCAACGAGAATCCGCCACGAAGCGAGGTACGCGAAGCGAAGCGAAGAGGTCGCCAGCTGCAGCTGAAGCTACCGGAATGGCTTCATTCAGGAGTCCTTGAGGAGCATCTGCAGGAATTGTGAAATACCTGCGACCATCTCCAGCCAACGTTTCGGTTTGAAAGATCATGTTTTGCGAAAGGACACGAGCGAGAGAGAGAGAGAGAGGCTCCGGGCCGTACATTGTTCCACCAATGAGCATTGTCAAGTGCACTGCATATTATGTCGCGTCAAGTCTCATACAAAACAAACACATTGGCGAAAGGCACAAAGTCATATGCGCACCATCAGAGCCTGCCAGTCGACACACACAAAACACACACAGGTGCCGCAGGGATGCCAGTTGTTCATAGTTTTTCAAAGTCTCAGGCGGTCTCAAGGTCATTGCAGAATGACATCAGAAGGGAATACACCAAAGCCTGGCCTCCATGTTCAGGATAAAGTTGTGAATCCCACGACATTGCCAACATTGACCTAAGAGCATCACGGTTTCGAGTTGAGGTGCCAGGTAATGCAAACCATTAAGCGTTCGAATCATTAGCGTGGACAAACGGACCTGTTTTATCCTCCGGGCGCACGAAACAACGGATTCTTGCTGATTCCATAGGCATCAGCATTCAGAAAGGGCACCTGAACCAAGCCGCACATCACATCTGTCAAATGTCTGTGGCTCCAATAGTCTCTATGCTCTGAGTCTCGCCACATCAATTTATGTTTTCCTCCCGTTCCAATCCATTGCGTTTCACGACATCGTCACCTCGTCCGTCTAGTCTTTCAGCCGAGGTGCTAAGCATAACGCGGCCGGCTGGGCATAAAACTCCACACGGTCCACGACCCCAAAGGTCAAAGCCCCAATAGTGCCTCCTGTCCGACCGGGAGAAAGCCACCGAAGTGATATGTGATGGGCGGTTCTGTCTTTATTTGGGGGGATGGGATTTGGGAGAATACCATGCGTAGAATACCCGATTCAATACAATTATATACATCATATTTAAACAATTGATCCAGTTGTTATTTAATTAATTGATCCAATTATTGTATTATGTTGTATCCCTTTATCCTGCTATTTCTGAGCCAACAAATGAACAATCCACGACTGGCTGAATGAACGAGCAAATCTGTGAGACATTTGAACCCACTTTTGCAGCAGAAGGCCCCCCGCCGGCCTGTGTGCTTTCCGTATCCTTGCTCGACCTACAGCTTGATTCTGAAGGTTGCCACACGCACCGTCGTGCACTCTTCCAGGAGTTAATACATGTTGAAACAAGAAGAAACTGATCCTCAAATACCTCTCTTCACCACTCACCCCCCCGATGACCGCCAAGTCACGATCACTGACATCTAAACAAGCTGAGTTGCCCTGTCTGCAAAGAAGCGGTCTGTTGCAACACCAAGCTCTATACCTTCTTTGAGCATGGTCCTGAGTTCTCTCTTCGCTCAGCCAAGACGGAAACATGCCAAAACCAAGATGGAAACACGCCAAGGATCTCAATGCCCGGAGGGATAGAATGTGTTGCACTCCGAACCTGCGACCATTTCAAGGCATTCTTGGACGCTACTTAACAAGTAAGGCATTCTTTGTCCAAATTATGGGTGTTTGGAGCAGTTTCTTACGCAGCGTCCCATCTCTCGAGCTCATAAAACGCATGAGAACAAGGCTTTACATGAAGGTAGTGTGCCTCACTGACGTAGTCGTCATCCCGAGACTGGATACAAACCTCAAGAATCACGGTTTACAAGCTCGATGGAACATATGCCCACTACCCACTACAATCACTGCAAGATGCGTTTCTGGGTGTTCGCAGACCCATCAGCAGTGAAATTCAATGCAGAAACGGACAGATTTGACCACTCTGAGAGCTCCGAAGGGCTCGACATGGTGTGCTTGACCTTCGGGCGACCCCAAAAAGGAAACGAATCTCCTCAGCCTCCAAGTGACCACTGCAAAACAAACGTATCGGCCCTGATCTTCTTCAATGCCTCCTTCAAAGGCCATGCAAAAGTCAGCAGCAGACCCCTCGGCCTAAGCGGCGGCCCCTTCTTGGGGTGTTTCGATCGATCGCAAGCACGCGAACGGGCACTACCAACCCTCCACCACTACCCTAATTTTCGTATTAAGCCTCTTCAAGCAAAGGTATTGTCTTAGCATGCTAACGTTTGTCAGCCAGGTGGGAAAAGAACAAAACATGAAACACATGGAAAAACCACACTACTCAAAAGACCACCACAAATATCCACACGAGCTGCCAAATTCAAGATTCTAGATCTGATATGATCATGTCGAGCTGCAGAAGCACGTGCTGCCTTTAGGCGATTCAGTGCACCCAGTCGTGTCTCTTCCATTCCAATCGGCTGTGCAGCGACCCCAGACTCAGCTTCCACCTGAATTCCACACGAGAAGCATGCAACCTTCATAAGCAAACCATTTTGCCTATGGAGCTCAGTGGCTTCAGCTGGATGTTTTGAACCCTCAACAAACATCCTCAAACATCCAAGCACACATATACGGGTGTATATATATATATATAACCATCCTGAAGTACATAGAATTTTGGTACAACTCAATCCCGCGGCACTATAAAAAAGTAATAATACATGGAATATCGGGGTCCCAAAAGCATCTTCAGGATGGTTATATCAAAACACCCGCGTGCCTCGAATCGAAACACCGGCGCGCGCGCGAGCTCGCATCCTATGTCCCTTTTCCTTCTCCCATCTTCTCCCCTATGTCCCCTATCTTCCACAGACCATTCCACGATATTCCAAGTACTCGTTTGATCCGCTCGGAGATATTCTATGTACTTTTTTGGGGGGGTCAAAACGAGGTACTTAGAATATGAAATTGAAATGACGGAAGGTACGTTGGCGGCTCAATTCCGTATTCTATCTACTCGAGGATGATTATACATGGAACCATAGACTCCACAGACTAAACTAAGAACTCAAACCCATTGCTTTAAAATGTTTTAAATATAACATACCAAAAGCGCACCCAAACAACATCTACACACCCACGACCGTCCCCTATTCCAAATCCACGCCACGCCGATGACCTCCACCCCGATGGCTGTGAGCCGCGCGAAGCCCTGCTTCGCTGCCTCCAACTTCGGCGCGCTGCGGCTACCAACGACGACCGAAATCACCATGGCAACGACCGAAATCACGCTGCGCCAGGACACTTCGGTGGTGCCGGTTGGTTTTTGTGCTCAAATGTCGAAAACCCTGGACCTGCCGGTTTTGGATGATGTTTGTTCCTTTACAAAAAGATCAAAAACGGGTTTGGATGGCAGCGGATTTTTGAGCCATAGCCATGTGTGCGGCCGTCTTCAGAACAGCTCCCATGCTACCAACTCATCCCTGGCTCCATGGTGATCGATTGTTTCAAGAGCTGCAAGCGGCGGCGAGTGCCAAGCGCGCAATTAGCACCGTTGTCCAGTGTTTCATGAGAACACACTTTGAACTTGTAATATTCATATCGAATCTCAACAACTTGTTCTTGGAGCCTTGTTTTCACTGGTGCAAAAGATGCCGAACATGTCTATTACTGACATCCCATAGCTCTCAACGTTTTCAACACCTTTTCAAACACGCAAAAACAATCAAAGCAGAAAAGATGGTCCACTTCCAGGTTGATTGCAGGAAGCACGTTGTGCAAAGAAGTGACTTCGTCTGATTTCATTGGAAACAAACGCTCCAGTACATTCTCAGGATTCAGCTCATGCTGTTCTGATCCCACAAAGTACCCTGCACCGTGCAGCCTCTTCTCCTATCAAAACCGGTGAGAGTTTCTACGATGGAACCAGATTGAACCTGACTTCTATTCAACTTACGTTCACGTCCAGCAGTGCTCAATTAGACTGCGACTGTGCAGAATCCTCTGGCACCCTCCTTCAGCACATTCTTTTCGTAGCACAGGTTGACGACGGCCACGGACTAGGAAAAGGAGACACAACGGAGACGTTGTAAAGCCTATGTCTGCTCCGACGAAGAGCCCGTCGCGGTCGCGGAGACCTTGCATGCTCGGCCTTGTTGTGGATTGACAGCAACAGCTCGCTGAGGCTTTGCTCCTGAGAGAGGTTAACTTGAACTGCCCAAGCCTTAACTTGATCTGTGATCCGTGTCTGGTTGAAGTGATTTGAAGTTCTTCGGTTCTTCGGTTCTTGTGATCCGTATCTGTTTTCAAGCTTGAACCGGTTTTAACTTCAAATAACTTCAGCATCGTGGCAGGTGCTGAACTTCTGGGGCAAGCGCACTCACGGCAAAGTCAAGGCCTGAGGGCTGGAAAGTCTCACAAGGGTTCCTTGAAATTCATTAAAAGATATTAAAGGTAAAACCAGCTCTCCAAAGTCTCAGATTTTGGCAGAACAACTGCAAACTTCCAAATCTTTGTCGTTCCAAATCACTGCGACACATCGCTTTGGCATCGCTTCATGTAAAGCGAAAACGAGGACAAGAAACAACATGATTTGATTTGCATGATTGAAGTGTACAGTACATTGGTGAAGGTATCGCTTTTGGGGGTTGACTATATTCTTATCCTTTACCAGGTTTTTTGATGATTTCAATGAACAAGTTCCTCTCACATAAAGATTTGTGATGATTTGTGCACAAACCCTTTAGGTCGTTGCTCATGTTCAATCATGTTCAATTCAAGTTCTCTTTGTCGCCGACCACTGCGTTTGAGGAGCTGCCCAAGAGCTGTTGGCTGAATCGATGCAATCACCTTGCTGGTCACTGCCACTGCTTTTGTGGCGAGACCCGAATCCCAATTTACTAGGAGGTCGATCCAAATGTTTGATAGACCTCCTGTACTTTCGAACCTCCTTCTGGTGTCCCAAGTGAACATGCTGAGACTGGGACACAGTCGGCTTCCAATTGAAAGCCGTCGCCTCAGCTGGACATGGCAAATCCATGCAAATCACTCAGCTGTCGCCCAACTTCAACCAATCCATGGTTGTTGCACTTGCAACACACTGGAATCATTACACCCGATTGCTTTCGATGCTAGTCTTCCACACAACGTGAAGTGACAGGTTCACGTGCGCGGTATACTGCGTGTTGATGCCAAATGCTCCAGCAGGATTCAGTGGCTTCATGCAACGTGGTGTGCAGTCCCAAAGAAAGGTTCAGTTTATGACTATACAACTCTTTCACCCTGAGATTCTTGCGCAACTGGACACGTGGCTTGCCACTTTCAGTTGGCTCCAGCCTGAGTGGTCAACTCTGGCTCGTGCCCAGTCTCTTGTGATTAATTACCAGTTCTCCGTTGTACCACAAACCCAAGGCCCCATCGTCTCAATTGAAGCATCGCGCCTGAAGAATCATGGAATCCACTGTGAAGACGAAAAGGGGATTCATTTACCATCCAGGAAGGAAAGACAGGACATGAATGACATGATACCATGATATTGCTCGCATGAAACTTCCTGTCTCTGCTCCTTTTTGAGTCCCGTGTGACTTATGACTTATCTCTACCCTTTTCTCAACCAGCTCCGTGAGCCTGAGATCTGCAGCGTTGGTTCCAGGAGGCGGATTCATCAGCTGCTCCTGCAGTGGTGGACCCACAAGCTGAATGAGATTTCAACCTCTTTGCAGCTGAATCGGATCGTCACAAGCACGTCACCCTTGTGGGTGAGCATCCAAAACTGAGCGGCCATTCCTCAATATTTCTTATGTGTTTCACCCATGTGTTTGTTCATGTGTGTTCTGGGTCAACCAATTTCTTTTGGGCTCCTCCAGGGCACCTACCAAGGTGCTCAGGCCTGCCCGAAAGGAGTAGCAACCTCATCGACTATAAAATCTCTGACAGTCATCCTGCCCATGTTCCACAGCTCTTCATCTCAGGTTTTCACGCCCTCCTGCCGCAACCCTTTGCAGCAAAGGGTCCTGCAAGCAAGGCTGAGAATGAATCCACTGTTGTTCGAGATCATGTCATAGTTGTCTTATAGCTTCCATAACTCCATAAATAACCTTCTCTGTTTGTGCTTCTGATACCTCACTCCCTGCGTACCCTTCTTTTCTTCGCAGGCTTGCATAAGCTCTTGCCACCCTTCAACCCCAATCTCTCGAGCAGTCACCAGATTCTGTTCTGTCACTGTGTCTCCAGCCGAAGCATCGCTCAAGGCCCTGGACACATCGCTCAAGCGCAACAAGTGAAAAGTGGGTCTTGGCGCTCGCTGCGCCATGCTCTCGATCTGGTTGAGCTCTTCGTCCTCTTCTTCATCCTCTTCACCTTCACTTTCATCAGCTTCGTCAGCCTCCGCCTGCAGCCACTCGGCCAGTCGCCTCAGCGGTTGGAAGTTGAAGACTTTCAAGAACCGGACATGTAATTTTAATCCCCCTGTGACTTAACCAGGATAGGTTGTGCTAAGCATTCGGTAGTCATAACTTACATGAAAAGTGGTTCCCCACACACCTACAGAATCACAAACTGGTAAAAACCGAGTCTCTACAAGATCCCACGCACAAGGGCATTTGGGGACAGGCACAGACTCTACAAAATGGGAAGGTTCTGGAAGGGGATAAATAGAGAACAAGATACAAAATGATCACAAAAAATAACAGAAACAGTCCATGATACATTTTGTAGAGGGTACCAATTTTGCAAGTCAGGTAGCATGCACATTGGCAAATAAAGAACATGACGACCCATTTTGTAGAATGTGTCATTTTGTAGAGCCAGCTAAAACTCAACACAATGAAGCTACCAAGATTTTAGAAACGTCACATACCACCTCTACAAAATTGCAAACGGCGGAAACTAGCAGAACCAGCACTACAAAATGGATCAAACGGCAACTTCAGCACTACATAACAGACCATTCTTGAGGAAGGGGAGAAACATGGATCGGCTTCCAATGTTTTCCCAGAACTTTCAGGTCTCAGAATATGGTCTTGTGATGTCTTGTGTTGAAATCCGAGATGTCTACCCTCCTTTGAGCAGTTTGGGTGGTCTTGTGAGGCAAAGGTGGCAGATTTGCATTCTGTAGAACCCTGCACTTCGAGATTTTGGAAAGGGATACACACAAAAAGTCACATACCACCACTACAAAATGGCAAACTGAGCAAACAAGCAGAACCAGCACTACAAAATAGCAACTTCAGCACTAGCTATATAAAAGACTATTCAGCACGCGTCATTCTTTCCCCAGCCTTCCCCCTGCCAGTTGTGGGTACAACTTTTTCTACAAAGTGTCAGGTTTTCTACAAGATGCAAACCGGCGTTTCAAAACCACCTTCAATGGGAATGGCCACATTTGTCTACAGAATGACAAACATGCAAATCAGCATATTCTTGGTGTGCAAAAGTTTCCCCTCTACAACATACCAAACCTGGAAATGCAGGACAAGTGTTCTATTGACAATGCCTTATTCCAGTGGTCAACCCGTCCTATTCTGTAGTGAAAACATGCAGGAGGAATCAGGAGGATTATATAGTTTAAAGCATCGAACAAGGTTCCTTGAATCAAGAAAGATCATGAAAGCATGTTGCCAAAGAATGCCAAAGGACTCATAGCTGATGACTTGTTCTTCACCATTCTCCAGCTGCACACGGAAGGACTCTTGGTCGGCATCTGCATCTGGGTCTATCACAGTGGCCATCAAGTCGCCTTCGGGACTGGGCAGTGTCAACTGGTCGCCAGCTTCGAGGACTGAGCCATACCTGCAGTGGAAACAAAAAAATTAACAAACAAGTGAACATAGAGATATGAATGATACAGAATCTCTAGATGAAGCTTGAAACAACCTGGTCATATTGGTCGTATCTTCAACATGGATCGACAGCATGTCCTTAGGCATGACAGGATATTCCAGTATTTGCAGCCCTAAGTACAGTGGTGAGTGGACAAATGCGGGATGAAACCCCACCAACTTGATGCCTAGCTCCTCCTCAAAAAGAACTCCGTTTTCAAGAACCCTCCCGTAGAAGTCATTGAAGGCCGTGAAATCCTCGGACGTCCAAGAACGTCGCACGCTGTCGCGAGCCATGCACAGGATACACTTTAAGGTACAAAAAACTGGTTCACACATTGGCATACATCACCAGTAGCTGACACGGTAGTAAGCTTCAGACTGACCATGCATTGACATATGGACACACCACCAGTGTGGTACTGGCCACTCCCCTTGGCACGTCAGCAGTAGGAAGCATTTCAGCTTCCAGTTGCAAGTCTTCCAGAACCCCATCTTCTGTCGAAGAGAGGCTAGTTACAACCTTGGCCCATGGTGAATTGCGCAAAGGCAACGTTCTTACATGCTTTTACGGTCTTTTGAATTATTTTGCGACTTTGCTCCTCAGGTTAGCATAACAGAACACTTAAAACTGACTTGCCTTTTTCTCGTCTCTTCCAAGCAACCCGAATCCCACCATCGTCATCGACAGACTTTGCCCACGGACAAAAATTCTTGCCGATAATCAGCTTGAGCAGCCAATTTCGCACTGCAGCAGAATGCTCGTTGCTTTCGTCTGAGACTGCGCGAACATGAATTCTTTGCTTCTTGCAAAGGCACAAGGTCATAGCACCTTGAATGTCGTGCGGCGCTTTTGATGTCACAGGCAGAATGTGATGTGCACACACTCCCAGCATGGCATGTACTACATTGTACTACCTACCAATCTTTCCCTTTTCAGTGTTCTTTGTCACAAGCGCAATCAAGCCACCTGCAATGCCCCACGCCCTGTTCGAGCCAACCAAATATGATCTGCCACGATCTGGTGGTGGACATCTTTGGCCAGCAGCTTCCAAATGCCTCTGGTGGGCTGTCTGTGCAAAGACGACACCAAGAAATGGGTTGAATCTACATATGGAAAATGCCCTGCCTCAGTGTAGGGGCCGTAGCACAAGCAACATCAACATGAGCCCAAAGCTGCATCATTGCAAGTAATTCATTAATCAATGTCAATGTGTCTCTTGACTCATTCTTGAGGAGAGCCACCAATCTAACTCATTCAACCTGATTCAGATTCAGCATTAAGCTCTAACATTTGGATGAATATGATGAATCTATGATTCCCATATGATTCCTGACACGTTGTACAAGTCTGCCTCAGGCCCAGCTAAATGCTGTGCAAGCTGCTCCTTCTTCTATGTTTGGGTTTGTAGATGTTTGTGGCCCCTTGAACTCTTTGAGCCAAATTGAACTCAGCACTCCCAACACAATGGGGCAAGCTGACATGAGAAGGCTCACCCCTTAAACAAAGAACATTGAAACTTGTTCAGACCTCAACTGACTAAGCTGCAATAAGACATGAACCACCATGAATCTCTCCAGCAAATCCAGCGCCATCCAACTTCGACGTCGATAGGCCAAAACGGTAGAGAGCGCTGCCTGGCAACGGTGAAACGGAGACAAAACATGCCAGGAGAGGTATGGAGAAGCTAACCCAAAAACACTTTGACTGGCAACTCCAGTATATATATATACGTATACTCACAGTATATACAGCAAGTAAGTGTACCAATCACATGTTCTCATTGAGTATGACTCAGTATGACCTTTTGTCCTTCTGGCACAATGATCGACCCCTGAGGAGCAGACCCCCAGGAAGACGGAGCCAAAGCGCTGTTCGTTGTGCCAAAGCCTGGGGAAGCAGGTCCTCACCGAGAGCTCCTTGGCATCTCCAGCCAGCTGGCCACGACAGATGGGGTCCGCCAAATACGTCGCCAGCATCTTGGAAGCTCGACGTGTGACGAAGGCAAAAACGCTCTCGTCGTCCAGCTTTTTGCTCCGAGGCCATAGAGGTTCTGCTAGAAGAGCAGGGCCATGAAGCAGCACATGTTGTGGTCCAGGTACCAGTTGGACTCGACCATGAAAGATGTGACGACGCGCCGAGGCTTCAATGTTTGCACTCAGCACTTGATCTTCCAGCTTCAAAAGCTTCAGCAGCCCCAAAGCCTCACGTCCATTCTTGTTGACAAGAATACTGTTGTGAAAGCCTTGCTCAAGAACCTGCATCTTGGCTCCTGACGAAAACCCAGGCAATTCATGGCAATTCATAGAAGTAGGGACATATGTTTTTCGAGGCTCCAGCTGCAAGATAATTTGTTGAAATATGTTGAAATGTCTTTTTTGCAACTCAACGTCTTGTCATGTCTTGTCCTTTCGAAGTGCATACAGCAGGAGCACCCAAACGAGAGGAGCTCAAAACGGTGACTTCTGCGTGAGGAAGACTCCGCTGCAAGAGACGAGCACATGTCAGTCCAGAGACTCCTGCTTGAGACATGCGATGTCGAAGTGAGACATGCAGTCACAACTCTCAAGATAAGGGGACCCCGCATTACCCTGCATCCTACAAGTGGAGAAAGTGACTGGACAATATAGACTGCTGGCAAATTGTTTGTGAGGTCTTTGTCAAAGGACAAACCCAGGCTTGCTTAGGGTTCACGGCAAGGATTCGATCCGACGTCTCATCGTCTCCTCCGCCCAATATGCAAAACTTGGGAGCCGCCATGAGGATACGACTTCAGGAAGCTACACTCCATGGACCGCAAAGGTCTGAAGAGTGATCTTTAAGATTCTTTAAGCCTACATCACAAGATACGGGTAACACTGTGTGCAACATCCTGATAATTCTGGCGATGCGAGCTTGTTTGACTTTCAATGAATGGCAACGCACGTGTTTGTGGTTGCCAGGTCTGCAGAATTGTTCGATTCCACTTGCATTCTACATATGAGCTGAGAGATCAGTTTTAGGTGTTAAAAACCAGACGGCTACTCGAGACATGTACAGCCATCTGTTTCTCACATATGCCAAATCTCGCAGGTGGTGAAGCGGGCAGTTTTTTAGCCAGCAGGCATTAGACTTCGCAGATTGGCATTTCGACCTTGGGCATTTTAAAGGCGCGATATTATAGTTTCGATACATCCACATACGCATAGTAACATGTGGTAAATGGCCATGATGCACTAAATGGTAATACTTTCATATAATCTGATTGGTTGAATCAACATAGTGGTCAATGCTCGACAAAATGAGTGAATCAACATCAAACAACATCAACAAATCAACAACGTAACCTAACAGCACACGGGGTCTGCAGCCTCTTTCGCGCCCGTCTTGGGGCACGGACGGCGAAGTGCCAGCAACTCCCGTTGCAGCTCTTCTTCGGCTTCCCTCAGCCTTCAGAGGCGTAGATCGGATGCGTCGATGGGTGTCAACAAGTGCCAGTTCCACATCCGTTCCACCCTGTTCCACTGACTGCATCCTCCAAAACTAGCAAAAATGTTGTCTCATATCTTCAATCTGAATAATCATTCAGACACATCCATCCATCCATCCATCCATCCATCCAGGTCTCCTCAGTCCTCTGAGCACTCGACTGCTGAAAGCGCTCATGGCCTTGGGCGATTCGGTGACTCAGGGCGTCCTGGCCGATTCGGTGCCCAGCTGGGTACCCAGCAGAAGCCACCTTTAGCCCCTCCAAAATCAGCATCAAATCGTCAGCATAGAATGGACATATGAAACACAACGCTGCCAATTCAATAGACATATGAAACAACGACTTGAAAACATGGAGCTCTTTTTTTAATGGAGAACGGGTGTGTGGACATGAAGTGCTACATCAGTTTTCTATGACTTGACTGTGAGTGAAATCATCAATCAACAAACAAGACCAAACAAAGCGAAAAGGATCGAAAAGGTATGCAACAAACAGCATCAATCAGTCACAACATCACTACCCTCCGTCAATGAATAAAATGTAACAAGTCAACAAAACATCAAAATATGTGCTGAAAGGTTTGAGAGGGCAAGGAATGTGCTCAAATTCTGAACTGACACTGAACTCTCTCTAAAACCGGATCCTGACCCTTCTCAAAGACCCTTATGAAACGTTCTATGGGAGGTTTCCACTCTCCTCATTTGTTTTTGGCAATAGAATCTACCTTCAACTACTGGAAGCCACAGAACCACCTGACATTTCCATGATTTTCCATGTTGCTTTTCACTCGGGAACAAGTTCCGCCTGCTTTGCGCTTCGCTCTGTCACCTGCTCTTGAAGTTGCTGCCCTGGCAGAATCAAGCTTCTGCAGCTGTGAATCCCCTCTCGGTCCTCCTGGGAGTCCTCCTGGCCTTTGACTGCAACCATCGCTTGCCCATTTTTGAGGCGAGCAACAACATCCTGGATGTGGCGAGCAACTCCTTTTGGGATCATGTTTGACAGGCAACTTGCTTTGCTTGAAGCCTTTGTATATTTGTTTGGGAGATTTAAAGAGGCTTAAAATCACTCGTCACTGGTATGTCCCGGCATGTCACGCGCTACATCAGCTCTGCGTTCATTTTAAACCTGTCGATCGCTTCATTCACAGCTGTGCGACGACTTGTCGCAAGTCGCTAAACATCCAAACTGAAACAACCTGACAAGCACATGGAGGGTGCGAAGCAACTGATTCGAGCTTCGTGCAAGCATGCACACACAATTAAGCTGATTTCAAAAAGCAAGGAGGAATATCCTCCTGAAACGGAACTAGGACCCTTGGTCCAGCTTGGAACCCGCCACAAACCATCTTATGCTCTTCTCAAGCCTGAGCGGACATTAGGTTTATTTGATCTTATTTGGCATTCTGCATTCTTTTCATGTCAAATTCACATCCAATGCACTACACGCTCTCCATTGGAGAGTTTCTTGTGTGGCCCCTCAATGGCAGTTGCAGCCAAAGGCATCTTGCCTGCATCCTCTATAGAAATCTAGAATAGACAAGACGTGGATGAAATTCTGTAGTACTTGGCTGTCCTTCGGTCAAAGGAAGGTGTCAGTGTCGACAGTATCACAACCACCCCCGCAGCCTTCACCAACTCGACAGGGTACACAGACCTTGTTGTCTGATCAAATGCTGTCTTCATCTATGTTTCAACAAGCACAAGACCTAGAGTCCACTGGTACATATAATACAATAGAACTCATCCCTTTCTCCAATCGAATGACTGGCAAAACGTGGCAGTTGCCAACACCAAAGCCAAGACACACAATCTTGCCAAGCTTGGGGAACTGGTCTTCCAAATACCTCAGCCCGGTGTGAGCGCTGCAGAATTGATCCTCTCATGTCTAACACAATAGTTTTTTGTCGGTTTGGACATGGCGCGGAACGGTGGCAAAATTAAAATGGGAGACATCGTGGGACATGCTCAAAACCATCGAACACCCACCTGGTTTGGCTCATTGTGTTCACACATTGATCAAGCTGTTAGTTACAACATGTTACAACTCATCTGCAGCTTCAACGGGTCTTGGTCTGTGATCCCATGATTTGGATTTCGACCCAGACGAGAAATGCTATCGACGCTGCTTGCTTCCTTTCTCCTTGATCTGCTTCACATCTGGAGATCGACCATATCCAGCAAACACCTCGATGACCGGGAGCTGACAAAGCACAAGCGGACCTGGTGAGTTGGGACTCCGTCTACCCATGGCGATCGGGGGTCTCCCATGGTCTCCCTATTCAAATACACAGTCATCCAGTTTTCTCAGGGAGGTCAAACAGAACTTGGAAGTGTGTCAAAAATATTGAGTCCAAGCAACCTTTTCCATCGTCTCCATGCCTTGAACGCCGCTCGCACGTAGACTCTCCCAAGTAGCTGATTTGGGACACACACAGACAAAGACCGCAAAACCCGGGCGTTTCATGAATGCCAACAAAGTGGGCTGTCCCAAAGGTCTGTGATGGACATGAACTCTGGCCTTGAACGACCTCTGCAATGGGAGCGATGCCATCCTTGTCCTGAGAAATTAGGTATTATGTTGAAAGATGTTAAAAGTAGAACTTGGCAAGTACACTTGACGGAGCCACTTCAGCCAGGCGTCCAAATGATCATTGTCTTTCCTCAATCCAAGTAAGTCAATCAGAAGCATCCAAGCAAGAGTCAGGTGGTTCTGTTTCCGTTCCCTTTCCCCCGTTGTTGGGATCTTTTCTGTGACAAGTCGAGTGTCATGTTGACAAACAACTCCTGTGCGCGGCTGTGAGAGTTCCGAAGCAGTCCTCCTGACACAGTCGAAGCACGCAGGTAGGTTTCAGTCGTCCTCCCGACGGGGATGTGTAGGTCAGATGTGGTCAGATCCGTCCTGCTTTAAAGGCCACGGTGCCGCGTTTGTTGGACGCCTCAGCAAACAGGATCTGTGTTCACAACATGATGCGCAAAAGGGTGAATATGAGTGATCGCAAGCGCAACATAGCCTACGGTAATTCCATTTTAGCTAGCAAGTGGCTTGCAAGGGTTTGGAGGCAAAAGGTGTGTTTTATTTATTTTTTTAAAACCTTTGGCAAACCATTCTGTCTGCCACCACGAATCTCTCACTCGGTCGTTCCTGATCTTGTCCAGCTCCAACCTGGGCACTGCCGCGGAAGAAGAACGGAAACATCAGAAAGGTAGAAGCACCTTAAATTAAATTGAACATCAACATTGCCTGTCACCACTGATTATATAAGCCTTAATGCATGGTGCATGTAAAACTAATGAAAGTCAATATTAAATAATATCAATATACATATCAAAGAATATCGGTTAAGGCTCGTCACCGAATTACCGACAATCACTTGACAGTCAATCCATCACATATACCAAATGCATCCAAATGCTGCAAATCCATGCACATCATGCACTCGCACTGCTTGCATCAATTGGATCAGTGACGTGGGCTCTGCCGGCAGCCCAAAGAAAACGCTATCCTGACACGTCGGCGAATCCGTGAAGTTCGTATGGTCGACTGCGCAGCCGAAGCAGTCAGCAGGGCATTCGTTCGAATCGGTGAAGTGTCGAATCGTGCCCAGGTGTTCTCAGTCCTTTTGAACGTGATGGATTCGGGATCCCTCAAGATCACCCATCCTCACCAGGGACATGGTCCATGGCCCCCATGGGCCCATGGGTTGATTCATGGCAACTCGGTCTCATGAAATCTCAGTGAGTCAAACGCTTGGATTCACCGCACATGTTAAATCGCCCTGGAAACATGTCTTTTGATATGCTAGGGATGCTTTTGTCTACTACAATGACGCAAGGTGAACAAACAAAAGCAGTCCTCAGCATAGACACGAAGCGCCTCACACCCTTGGGTGCCCATTCCGGGTGCAGCTTGAGCACCTCAACACATGCTTCGCTGTACTCTGGAGAACTTTAAAAGGAGTCATGTGCACACGTGTGATGAATGCCACGGTAGACCGAAAGAAAGAAAACAAAATATAAGGGAGAAAACACTCAGCCTCACTTACTAAAGCCTAAGGCTACTGCTACTTGTTCAGTTTCTTCACCATCGCCACCCTGCACATCCACATCAAAGGCCACAAGCGGATTCTCCTCCGGCCAAGCAAAGTGAAGCCGTTGTCGGTCAAATTTATTGGATGTTCCAAACAAATGTAAACCAGCACATTCGTGCCGGCTCATGAACCATGGTTTTTGCATGGGCTGACGAGAGAAGTGAGCCCATGCCCGCATGATGCCAGCAAATGTCCATCTTTCCAAGCGATACACCCATCCTCCCATTGACAAACGCAGAATCGACAAACC